GAGAAAAAGGCACCCTCGTGCTCTGCTGGTGGGAATGCAGACTGGTGCAACCACTGTGGAGAACAGTGTGGAATTTCCTCAAAAAACTGAAAATGGAACTCTCATTTGACCCAGTAATCCCACTCCTAGGAATATATTCCAAGAAACTAGAAATACAAATCAGAAAGGATATATGCACCCCTATGTTCATAGCAGCACAATCTACAATAGCTAGGATTTGGAAACAGCCTAGGTGCCCATCAGCAGATGATTGGATCCAAAAACTATGGTATATCCACACAATGGAATACTATGCTGCCATAAAAAGAAGGAATTCTCATCATTTGCAGCAACCTGGATGTAACTGGAGAACATTATGCCGAGTGAATAAGCCAATCAATGAAAAAGAAATACCACGTGGCCTCACTCATTTATGGATATTAAAAAACATTATAAACTGACAAACCAAAAGATAGATATAAAGACAGTAAAGCAACAAGCAGACTGTAAAATTACAGTGGGGAGAGTGGGGAGATCTGGGGGCGATAAGAGATCAACTGAAGCACTTGTATACATGCATATAAGTACAACCAATGGACACAAAACTCTGGGAAGGAAGGGTATGTATGTGGGGGGCAATGTTAAATTATGTACACAGATAATAAATGAATTAAAAAAATGGGGAAAAAAATAAAATTTCAAACAACAGTTTTTATATGATGGAAGCTTCATTATGACAGGCACCTGCTAGTGTACCAGAGCCCAGGCACTGACTCTGCTCTGTTTCCCTCGTCCAGTGCTCTTATAGGTATCCTCCCTGCCTGTTACCTCCAGCAAAGGCCCAGCACTATCCTACGCTGACCCACAGCCCAAAGGCCATATCACAGCCTCTGGCTCCTAGGCACCACGGGAGTGGGAGGATTTTCAGGGAGGAGACAGAATGAGAGAAATGTCAAAGCCCTCAAGCTCTCTTGCTAGCCTAATGGAAAATGCTCAGGACATATTCTCTTGCCTTATTCCTGTGGGGTGGGGGTCGGCAGAAATGAAGTGAGAACCTTAAACAGTCATTCCCAAAGAGTCCTTGACAAAGACTCAGAACTCTTTTCCCAGCTTCTCCAGAGTACACCCCACTATGGTAGCCTCCTCACCTGCTGTGACTGAACCCTTATGACCTGTCCACTTGCTCTCTGTTGACACTAAAGGCAAAGAGAGGTCAAGAGACAGCTTTCCACAGCCCCAGAGGTTCAGTCATTCACCCAAGAGACCAGTAGGAGGCAGGCGCACCACCCTCAGCAGGGTACCATGTTCCAGATACACGTCCTCATCAGAAGCATGTCTCCCAAGAATTTCCTTTTCCAGAGGTTTGACTTACTTAAATAACACTCTTCCTGTTGCAAACTTATATATCCCATCGTTTTATTAACAAGGCCTACTTTGGGGACAGATTTCATGGGGGGAAATGTGTATACTTAGGAACCATTTTCAGACATTCCACAGCTACAAGGAGAATGGGTAAGACTTGGTCCAAGGCCAGTCCTGAATGTTCCATGGGACCCAGAGGCTCCTTTCAAACCCCTGGGATGGGAACTGGGTTCTCTCACTCAATGCAGAGGTTGTGACATCTTCTCAGTTCTAAGGACAGTGTGCAAATCATAACAGGCAGAAAGGGGGCATTTCCTAAAGAATGCTTCTACCACTTTACACTTTCTCTATCAGAGGGAAGAGGGAAAAATCCCTTGTCCACACTCAAAGGATCCACTGAATATTCCAGGATCTGCAGGCAATGCCTTTGGACACGTTTAAATACAATAGCTGGTAAAGAGATCAACTGAAAGACTTGTATACATGCATATAAGTACAACCAATGGACACAAAACTCTGGGGAGGGAGAGGAGGGCATTGGTACAAGAGGGGAGGGCCTTGGTATATGTACAAAAATAATAATTTAATAAAAAAATATATTTAAAAAAGTGTAACGTTTTAAAACAGCAAAGGGTTGACTTTTGTTTTTACATTCTCCTCTACACTACTATTTATCCATTAATTGGGATATTTAATGTAAACATTGGTATGTTTTATTTAAAAACCAGTCTGCTATTTTGTCCATTTGTTCCATCTGTTTTGTGTTCCTCTTTTATTTATTTTTTGCCTCTTTAGATTAATAAAATATGTTCCATTTCCTTTTCTCCATTAAAAAAAATAGCTGGTAAAACCCAGGGGGGAATTTTGTCAGATATTCTGCTCTCAGAGACTTAAGTACTCTTTGAGAAGAAAGTCATTTCATGGAAATGTCAGCCCTTGGATTTCTCTGATGTAGTTTTCACATTAAAATGAGTCTATATTGCTGAAACCATTTTGCTCAGAGGATAGAACATCTGCCTATGGACTGAAAGGTCCCAGGTTCAATTCTGGTCAAGGGCATGTACCTTGGTTGAGGGAACATCTCCAGAAGGGAGTGTGCAGGAGGCAGCTGATGGATGTTTCTCTCTTATCAATGTTTCTAGCTCTTTATCCCTTTCCCTTCCTCAGTTAAAAAAAATTAATAAAATATACTTTAAAAAAATAAAATGAAATGAAATGAGTCTATCTTGCCAAAACCATTTTGGCTCAGTGAATAGAGCATTGACCTGCAGACTGATAGGTCCCAGGTCCGATTCCAGACAAGGGCGTGTACCTTGGTTGAGGACACATCTCCAGAAGGGGGTGTGCAGGAGGCAGCTGATGGATGTTTCTCTCTCATCAATGTTTCTCTCTATCCTTCTCTGTTCCTCTCTGTAAAAAATCAATATAAAAATATATTTTTAAATGGCTCTATCACAATTTAAACCTATTAATGAGCTCCCTCAGTAAATTGTTGAGTTTTGAGTCCTTTGTAACTTCTGAGGAGCTGTTAGCAATGGAACAGAGGGTGTGGGTCAGGTATATGTTATGTACCCCCAATTCTTGACTAGATGTGTTAGAAGCACTTTTCACATGAAAGATATTCAGTTAATATTAGTTGAAAGAAGACCACACCAGTCAGTGAGGGAGCTAAAGTTGTTGTCCCTGACATACTTATAAACATAATTTTGGATTGTAATGAGAGGAGGATGTTAGTAGAGGAGGGGGAACAGCGCTTCCAATTTACCCAGGAAGTGAGTTGAACCACTCATGAAACATGGGACAGAAATATATATATAAGATATATATATATATATATATATATATATATATATATATATATATTTTTTTTTTTTTTTTTTTCCCCACACAGGGTATACCTATATAGAACAGTTCTAAGAGCAATTACCTAGATTTTAGAAACAAGACCTTTACCAACTCAGAATCCAGTTAAGTTTTAAGAGGTAGGTAGCAATTTTAAAAACAGAACAATTGGCCCATTTTCTTTAGCAAACCAAAATATTTTTAGAAAAATAAAAAAGGTGTAAAAGGGGAAGTGCTTTAAATTGATGCCTAAGTGGCAGAGTAAACATTTTATGCAATAAAATTGTACAATTTTTAAAAAAAATAATTGTTTATTAAGAGAGCAGTGGAGAGGGAGAAAGAGAAACTTCAATGATGAGAGAGAATCATTGATAGGCTGCCTCCTGTATGCTGCCACTGGGCATCCAGGCCACAACACAGGTATGTGCCCTTAATCAGAATCAAACCTGGGATCTTTCAGTCCACAGGCCAATGGTCTATCCATTGAGCCAAACAAGCTGAGGCTGTATAATTATTTTTAAAACTTTAAAAAGTCCAATAAGTATTTGATAATAACATCAAATGGTTGTTACCTTTAAAGGTATACTATGATTCTTTTATTTTTTTAGGCACTACTTTTGAAGTGTATCAGGGTGAAGAATTGTGATGTCTGGGGTTTGCTTTAAAGTTCTTCGAAGGGAACAAAATAGATGAAAAGAAGGGAACGAAGGAGAGAGAAAATGAATATGGCAGAATTGTAATAATTTCCGTGTCTGGTAATGAAAGGGAATTCCTTCCACTATTCTGCTTTTGCACATGTGGGAAATTGCATGTACAGGTGGAGAGGATGGTGTTAGGGCCATGTCATAGAAGGTCAGGTAGGTTGGTTGGTTGTAGTGGCAGTTTGAGTGGGAGCTATGAGAATCCGAGCAACTTTCATTTTCACACAACAGCTATATAACTTTGATTATCTATGGTAATAATAGAAAACATGTAAATTGAGCATACCTCCTGGATGCCCATAGCAAATCAGGGATGAGTATGCAAATTACCCTGACAAAGATGTTGGGCCTGTGGGCAGAGGGCATATGCACAGCCACCAAGGAGAGCAGCTCATGATGTCCACTGCAACTTTGCTGGGATGCAGTGTGCATTCCACCTCCACGCGAGTTCTGGGCCTACACACACAGGCGCAAAGCAGCCAAAGACGGGTTAAGATGCCAAGCTTCCTGTGTCCAGGGGACTTCACTGGAATTCCTTGTCTGTCAGCCCTGCCTGGAGGTGGCTGTCTTAAACAGTCTTTTGGTTTCTGCATCCCAAGGATCAGAAGAAGAAACCAAGAACATGGGAGCACAAGGGATTCTGGGATTCATAGTATGATGGCAGACACATTGTGGGGTCTCCAAAACACTAGAGAAAAGTGAGCTTAGAACAAGTTACTGTTGTGATTAAGGGAATCCAGGGAAAGGAAAGGTGAGGGACTTAAGTAAAGTCACAGTGGTGAGGTAATGTTAAAGGAAAGGTACCCTTCCATTTTTGGGAAATCTCCACCAATAGAAAAAGAAAAAGAAAACAAAGACAAAAAAAAAAACACACACACAAAAAACAAAAAAACAACAACCCTCAAACCTTTATTTAGCTGTGGGAAACGAATCAAACAGGGTTGTGGGTCTCAGCCAATTCCCTCATATGATTTCAAAGACAGGAACTCCAGGATTGGAGAGGGTGCAGGTTGTATCGAAAGGCCCAGCCCTGTGCAGAAATCTTTCTGCAACAAGACCCTTCTTTGCCCAATAATAATAATGATGGCTGGACAGGGTTTGGTTTGGGAAAAAAAATAATGAAGTTCATTAACCAATCAATGAGCCCACTTTGGGCATACAGCAAATGCCCACTTTCTGCTCAACATGGCTTTGTGAGCCCTGGGAATTCTTTCCTAGAGCATCCTGATAATACTGCACCCCCATAAACTTCCCTTTTTGGATTTGCAAAGCTATGCAACTGGGAATTTCACACTTCTGAGGCCTCAGGTACACTTGGCTGTCGGGCGAGAAGCTGGTAAGACAGGGTAAACAGCCCACTCAGCAGTATCAGGATGGCAGCCAGAACTGCCACGGGGACTGTGCTGCCAATCTCCTGTCGGTCGGGCCTGCAGGGCATGTGGAAGGATGGTGGGAAGTGTATGCCCTCTTCATTCATCACAGCGTGGTAGTTCCAGATCTCAACAATGAGGATAAATACCCCAGCGTTGATGCTCAGGGCTCCGGAAGCTAAGAAGAGATTGCAGGTGTTTTCCTTCTGAAGATGAGCCACACACACTCTCTGCAGACCCATGATGGTAAGCACTTTCCCCAAGAGAGCCAGGAGGTTGGCAGCCAGCAGCAGGTGCTGAGTGATGCGGATATTGAGAGGCAGGTAGGTGTCACTGTAGGTGTAGCGGTGACACGCTATGGCTCTGCTCTGGAGGTTGTTGGACTGGTAAGTGCAGACCTTCCACATCCCTACACAGGCCAGCCCTGGGGAGGGGCGGAGCTGCTCTCCATGTACCAAAAGCGCCACTCAGCCAGGCCCATGCAAGTCATGGAGAAGATCCATCCTATGGTAGTGACAATGAAGCCCGCTACTTGGCAGTTGGCACTGTGGACCAGCGAGGCCGTGGCCATGTATCCCAGGGAACTGCAAACCAATAGAGCATCATCAGGGTGGGATGAACTGTCCTGGAACCACTCCCAGGGGATCAGCAGGGCAATATTGGAGAGAGAAATTCCAAATTCCAGAATGGAGACACTTGACCTCCATGCTCTGCTGGGGAAGGGTCCGTGGGAAATTTTTACTGATAGCCTTCATATATTCAGACTTTCACGTTGCAGGGTACCTAAGTGGTTAGAGCGTCTTCCCAATAAGCCAAAATGGCTAGTTCGATCCCTGATCAGTGCACATACAATAAGCAACCAATGAATGCATCAGTCACTGGAATACCAAGTCAATGTCCCTCCCTCCCTTCTTTCTTCCTCTCCTTTCTCTCTTCCCCCTCCCTGTCTCAAAAATCAACCAAAATATGTTCAAACTTTCAAATGGGCAGTTCCATTTATGGGCATTAGTGGAAAGACCCAATGAAGATTAGGGACAGATATTTTATGATAGAAATGGGCATCAAAGTAGCGCTGTGTGACATTGAGCAATGGTAAACCATGTCAAACCCAACAGTAGGGTTTGGTGAAATAATATATACTACAACCGTACAATGGAGCTCCATACCAAATTTACAAGTGCAGCCAAGTCACACCTGGTGTGATTTTTGGTGTCTGGCCCTTTTCACCACACATAATGGTGTCAATGTTCATCTGTATTGTAGCTCCTGGGAGCAGATCATTCCTTTCAATGGCAGAGCCATCTTCCATTGTATGGATGCTCCACAGTTTGTTTATCCCTTTGTCAGTTTGGGTACAGTTAGATCCATTTTAAGTTTTGTCTCTTACAAATTCCATTGCTGTGAACATTTGTGTCTAAAACTCTACATGGGTGTATGTTCTAATTTCTGGAGTGTAGATAGGAAGGAGAAAGACCCGTGCATGGGTCATGCTGTCACTGTATGTGTGTTTTATTTTGAACAAAATACTAAGCTGCCTCCCATAGTGGCTGCTTCTTTGCAGTGAATGTAGGAATTATGTTTTGAAAGGTTTTTTGTTTGTTTGTTTGTTTTTTATAGTCAGGTTGCAATTTCTCCACACCTTCTCCAACATTTAGCAGATTTTCATTACACAATGGAATAGTTGGTACCTATCAAATAGAAGGATCTGTTACCCTTTAAGACAGCAAGGAAGGACCTGAAAAGTATCATGCTAAGCAAAAATGTCAGTCAGAGAAAGACAAGGATCCCATGATCTCACTCTAATGTGGAATCTAATGAATAAAATAAACTGAGGAATGGAATTGATCCAGAGACATGGAAGTAAGAAACAGGGGGCAGAGTCTTGGAAGAAAGACAAAGGAAAGTGGGTAGGTAGGTGGGTGGGTAGTAATTAACACAGGACATTGTATGCATATGCAGAATTCATGAACACAGACAAAAGGGTGCTGAAGCCCTGGGTTTTGGACAGGATGTGCTGGAGTGGGTGGATGGTTGCAAAGGGGACACATGTAATCTTTCAAGAATAAAGATAAAAAAACAACTGATGAACAAAATAGATCCAGAGATATGGAGGCATTGGAGAGAAATCCAAATCTCTGAGGGAAAGTGTGCGTGTGTCAGTGTGTGTGTGTGTGTGTGTGTGTGAGTGTGTGTGTCAGTGTGTATGTGTGTGTGTGTGTGTGTGTGTGTGTGTGTTTCAGAGTGTGTGTGTGTGTGTGTGTGAGTATGTATAGAGGAGAGGGGGGATGTGATGAGATTAATCATAGAATGTATATGTATAATCTGTGGATATAGGCAATAGTTCAGTGAATGTCTGGGGTTGGTGCAGGGTGGAGGGTGTTAATGGAACAGGGGAAGAGGATATCTGCAATACTTTGAACCTTGAGGAGAAATTAAAAAATAAAATGAAAAATAAAATGTAATGTGACAAAAGGGAAGATGTCCACAATACACCATGGTAAGCAGCATGTTACAAACTTGTACAGACAATGGGATCAGAGGGCCAGTGAGCTTGAAAGTTATTAATGTTGTGCAGAATCACATTCATATAGTAAAAGGCACCAAATCTAAGTGTACAGCTCAATGACCTGTCAATGACCAGCTCAATGACATGGAAGTATGGAACAAAGGGAAGAGTCTTGGAAGAAAGACAAAGGAAAGTGGGTGGGTGGGTGGGTGGGCAGGTGTCAAGGGTAATACACCTGTCGCCACCGCTCAGCTTAAAAGAGATAATATCCCTGGTTTCTTGCTTGTCTTTAGTTTCCCACCTAAGCAGAAATCCCCAAACGTGGTGATTCCCTTGTGCCTGGTTTTGAAGACAGGTTTTGTGGCCAGGGCATTCCTGTGTAAATGGTTTCCTATGCTTCTTGATCTCAGGCTATGACTTCAAAGCAAATGGCAGAGGGAGAGAGAAAGAGAGGGAGAGAGAGAGATGCATCAATGAAGAGAGAGAGAGAATTATGGATCCAATGCCTTCTGAACATCCCCTATGAGAATCAAACCCCCAACCCAGGCATATGCCTGACTGGGAATTGAACTATGACCCTCTGGTACATAGGTCGATGCTCAGCCACTGAAGGCAAACTGACCAAGCTGATTTTTAAAAAATAATCTGTGGCTGTTCAAAAATTTCAGTTATTTGAAATGAGCATATTTTTTAAATAAAAACCATAAATAAAAACACCAACAAAAAACAAACCTTAGGAAACAATGGAGGATTAACTCTGGTACACAAATATGTTGCAAAATTTTGTGTAATAAATTCATTTCCTATAGTACCAAGCTGACTTTAGAAAAGAGAACTTGGTATCATAGGAAAAGGTCATAGTGGGTTGCATTTAAAATGAAAATAAGATCCCTGGTTGGTGTGGCTTCACTCGGGGGACATTGTCCTATGCACCAAAAGTTGCTGGTTTGATTTTTCAGCCACAGCACATATTTGAGGTGCCAGTTTGGTCCCTTTTAGGGGGCATGCAAGAAGCAGCTGACACATGTTTCTATTCTCTCTTTCCCTTATTCTCTCTCTAAAAATCATTTAAAATTCATAATACAAAATTAAAAATAAACAAATTGAGGACAAAAAAAGTATAAGTAAGTAGCAGGATCTTATTTTTGCCCATTGTGAAATACACTGGGAAGATAAAATGAAATAGCATCTGCTGAGATTACCAGGCATATTTCAAGTTGAAAACAAATGGTAGCATTTACAAGCAATACAAGAATAGAAATGAACAAAGGGTGAACAGGAGTGGACATGGAAGCCAGTACTTGGAGAACTTTGAGGGGTTCGGGCTTTATTCTGAGGGGCCCCCAGTGGAAGGAACAGGAGGACAGATCTTCTAGGCTGATACAGAAATTCCTTCTCATGGCCAGTTATTTATGGAAGATGCCTTATTTATAAAGTTCCTTCTTTCAGGCCACACAATCCTCAACAAATTATGTGTAAGGAACACTTTAAATGGCATGTTGGGCTGGGTTGGTGTGTCTCAGTTGTTGATAAGGTTGAATTCCTGGTCAGCTGGATACTCTTTTCTCAGTAGAAGCAGTGCAGAAGGCAGCCAATCAGTGTTTCTCATCATTGATGTTTCTATCTCCCTCTCCATATCCCTTCTTCTCTCTCTACAATCAATAAAAACATGTTTTTAAACAAGACAAGTCTTACATAAAGGATAGGTAAATAAAGGTGGCCTAGATTCACCTGTGAGCAGAACTGCCGATGACAGTTAATCTGTTCACTGAGCAAATGAATGAGTTACATAGAGTGACACTCCCCCACCCCAAGAAATCTCAGGGTTCTCTTAACTAGAGTAAAAAAATAAATCCCGATGGTTACCCACCTAGTACAGAAGGCAGGAGGAGGACGTCTCAGAGGTACAAATGGAAGCAACTGCCAGGCTCAAACAGAGATGAGAAAACCAAACATTCTTATGTTTCCATGGCTCCCAGGCATAGCCTGCAGGCCTGTGAAAATAGTCTCCTTGAAAGGCCAGAGTCCAGGAACAGGTCTTCAAGAGTTGAAGTCTTTCTACTATAAACATTTTTTTATTGATTAAAGTATTACATATAGATTCTTATCCCTCAATTACTCCCCAACTCCCCTTCTCATGTCTTCACCCTCCTGGTATCTTGTGTCATTGATTATGCTTATATGCATAAGTACAAGTCCTTTGGTTGATCTCTCCTTTTTACCTTGGCCCTTCCGTATTTCCCTCTGAATTTTAAGGGTCAGATTGATGCTTCTCTGTCTCTGGATCTGGTTGGTTTTTTTTTGTTTGTTTTGTTTTTTGTTTTCCATGTATGCCCTTTATTAAGCTTGGGATGTTCTTTTCTATTGATATTTCCCATTTTTTCTTTTTCAAAATTTATTTATTGATTATGCTATCACATAATTGTCCTCATCCCTCCATTCCCATCCCAAACCTCTCCCCATGTATGCCACCCCCTGTTGTCCATGATCACTGGTTAGGCTTATATGCATGCACACAAGTCCTTTGGTTGATCTCTCCTCCTTGTCTTTCCCACACACACACCTCCTCTACTTCCCTCTGAAGTTTAACACTCTGATCATTGCTTCTCTGTCTCCAGTTCTGTTTGTTAATCAATTTATGTTGTTCATTATTTCTCCTACATGCATTAGTTCATGTGATACAAGAAATACCCTTATAAGTACTGAAACTGAGACAAGCTATAATGGTTATGCTGAGAGGCAGATGAATCAGTCTGTAGTGAGTTCCTTTCTGGGAGTGCGTCTAGCATTAAGTTTAATAATTTTTTTGGTGGAATCTTTAGGGTTTTCTATATACAGTATCATGCCATCTGTGAATAACGACAGTTTTACTTCTTCTTTTCCAATTTGGATGCCTTTTATTTCTTCCTCTTATCTGATTTCTATGGCTAGTACTTCCAGCACTATGTTGAATAGGAGTGGTGAGAGTGGGAATCCCTGAATTGTTCCTGTTCGTAGAGGAAATGGTTTTAGCTTTTTCCCATTGAGTATGC